CAGCCATGAACCTCACTGCAGAAGCTTATATAGACATCTAAGTTTTCTGTGCCCCACCACTTTTGTACATATAGAAACACCACTGATATCAAGATATAAACATACTGTATATATACATATATATATATATATAAAAAAACATGACGCTCCGCTTCTGAAACGCTTCTGGAACGCGCCCGGTGGGTTATGACGCTAGAGGAGGTCGGACCAAAACCACGGCACAGCCGTAACGCGATGCAGACGGACCCGGTGGAAACTAGGGGTTATGGCCGCGTTACGGCCGCGTTACAGCCGCGTTACAGCCGCGTTACGGCCACACAACGATCGCGGCCACTCTAGTCAATGCCTGTGTTTCCACCAGACGCGCCACGTTACGGCTCAGAAGCGTCTCGGCTCAGAAGCGTCCCGGCTAAGAAGCATCTCGGGCGCTGGGCTCCGCTAAAAATACGCGGCTGTTCTATTTTTGACGCGAGGCGTTGCATAGCACCGGGCAGGAAGTGGAATGGTCAGAGCATCCAGTCCCCAAAATAAACTAATTTTGCAGACCCTATCCCTCCGTAGTCTTTCAAGTAGGAGGAGGAATGCCAGCGTTCTCCTCCGGTTTACAGGCACTGTGTAAATTATATATAGGCCTATAGAATAATTATGATGATGAATGCATTTTTTTTCCACTAAAATACAGCAACACATCTTTGATTCATGTCGTTTATAACTGGACTATTACAATTATTAACTTTGTCTGTACAAAGTAGCCTGTCCAGGAAATATGCCCAAATCAACAAAAACTGCGAGCCGGCACGCAAGACGCTCCGCTTCTGAAACGCACCTGGTGGGGTTTGACGCTGGAGGAGGTCGGAACAAAACCGCGGCGCAGCTGTAACGCGGCGCAGATGGACCTGGTGGAATCCCGGCGTTATCTTTTCTCAGCCGTGGTGCTCCGTGGAGCTCCGTACACACACACTCAGGCTGTGAATGTATGTGTGTGCTCAGGCTGAGTTCCGCGGTGTTTCGCTGTCTCCCAGACCCCACGCAGCAACCAGGAAACGACACCAGTAATCCAGCTCACACTGTCCGCTCCTCGAGCGTCAAAGGGCAGAGCAGCGAGCCCCGCAACGTCCCGCCAACACGGCACCCAGACCCCACGCAGCNCACTCAGGCTGTGAATGTATGTGTGTGCTCAGGCTGAGTTCCGCGGTGTTTCGCTGTCTCCCAGACCCCACGCAGCAACCAGGAAACGACACAGCATTCTCATCTGTTTGTCCTTACTGGTGTCATTTTCTGCTTGCTAACGCCATTGTAAAACATAAACACTGATATTCCGCTGTAACGGTGGTTGACTAATCAGAACAGAGTGGGCGAGCTGACCATGAACAGAAATGTACATCTGGCCAACTCCATATAGGTTTCCAAATGAAATAAATGTGTTTAATCTTAATCTCGATGTAGTGCTCAGTGCTGTCGGAGTGCACACACACACACACACACACACACACACACACACACACACACACACACACACACACACACACACACACACACACACACACACACACACACACAGCACGGTGCTGCTAATCTGCGTCACAGTGTTCCTGTCCTACCTGCCCGAGGCTGGACAGTACTCCAGCTTCTTCCTCTACCTGAAACAGGTCACACACACACACACACACGCACACACACACGCACACACACACGCACACGCACACACCGGACATCTCCTTCATACAACTAATAATAAGGCGTAATAATCGGGTGTTTCGGGAAATGTTAAAGTGTTTCGGGACTTATAAATGTGTCTCAGTTCTTGTAAAAGCGTTTCGCTAATGTCATTTCGTTTTATAAAATGTAATTTTGTTTTTATAAAATGTAAATTTGTCTCAAGCTTTGTTTAAGTGTTTCACACTTTTTAATTTTCTTTTGCACTTCTCAACCATCGTAGTAGACCCCTACACATATAACAACTTAGACTATGCTATAACACCCCTTGTGCAATACATATATATGCNACACACACACACACACACACACACACACACACACACACACACACACACAGTGGGTCGACGGCTGCACCAGTGTTAACTCCTCCTGAGTTTGCCGTGGTGACCAGAAGGACTCATTACGGTAACTTGAGCTGTTAGAATCGCAAAATAACTTACACAAAACTAGATTTGCATTGGTGGGATGATAAAGGACAACTTTTTAAACAATTTTAATCTGAAATGTAGTGCTCAACAATTTGAAAAACATATAGCAATTGAATTTACAATATATGAGGCCATTTTTAATAAATGTTTACATTATTATTATTCTTGTTTCATTGAAAGAGATATTAAAATACAAATATTGCATCTCCTCTGATTTGTATATTGCACCTGTCCATGTTACGAGTTCAATAAAATATAGATTTAGTGTTCATTCTTACCTCATAGCTATCCAGGACCCGGGCCGAGTGACAGTATTTGTTCATAAGAATAAATAATACACTCACGGTCACTGCTATGGGCCACAGGCTCAGCTAATAACCACCCTCAGATCAGCTAATCAAATTGATTTAAAAATATATATATTTATAGGCAACCAATGCCTTTTTATTATAGAGACAGAATTGAAATGGGGATGACACGTGGGTAAATTATCCCGGGCCAGATTCGTACCCTGGTCTTCCGCTTGGCAACCAAACCAGCCAAAACATGTACCAAACATGGGCCCAAGATATTGTTTTTTTTACTTGAAGTATAGCTATTTGTTTACCATAAAAGTTCCATGCTGAAAGTGTCATTCTACTGTAGTCATAGGGTCTGTATGATAAACAATGCATTTGTCTATAAACAATAGTTGACTAAACCACTGATGGATGCAACAATGTAGGTCCAGTGTTTCAACGGTTACTTTAGTTTTTTTTTCTTCTGTTTTTTACTTTTACAAATAACACAATAGAACAATAAGTCATTACGTATGACCTATTAGTGAATAAACCCTCGTCTGTCACACCTACCCTTGAAAAAACATTTGAAATGTATATCTACCCCAAAGTCCGCCACTATGTATTCCAATCCAAACTATTGTTCATCCTGTTTTATGTTTGATAATAATCACATTTTCTTATATATTTTTTGTTATGCTCGGTGTATTACACATTTACTTTTTATTTCAAAACTCTTCCACAAATGAACTGTTTGACTGCATCTTTTGGTTTGCATTTCTTCATTTGTTCTTATGTTTTGGTAAGCTTGCAAATTCCTCTATGTTCATACCGAGTTACTCTAATTTTAAACGACTTCTCGATACAGTCTGAACGCATTTCATTTTTTACTTTATACATGAATCATGCCGCAGTCCACCAAGTCTCTAAATTCCAAAGCCTGTGAATATCCTTGATGTTCCCCTCGATGAATACATTATATCCGTGTGTGTTTATTCTAAACATGGTGGTGTTTCAATGAGGGTCCTTCATTGATGGAATGTTCATTATTGACTCGCTGTACGATGTGTTGCTCTCTGTTTCAGGTGATAGAGTTTTCTCCTGCAGCAATCGCTGCCTTCATCGCCATGGTGGGGATCCTCTCTATAGTCGCTCAGGTACACAAGCCACCAGCTGATATCATCATGGAGGATTTGGTACAGAATCCGTCCTCACTGTCTGTCCAAAACTAAATGGACAAACTAGAAACAACCTTCCTCCCAAGTGCCACAGAAATGAAACTCTTTTCACTGAGTTGGTTTAATGGATGTTGAGAACCAGTGATGGAAGAAGCGTTCAGATCTTTTCAGTACAAGTACTAATGCCACACTTTGTAAATAGTCTGATACAAAATGTTAAATGTAGTGAAGTAAAAAGTACTGTATTTCCCTATCAATTATAGGGGAGTAAATGTATTTAGTGTCATGAAAAAAAAATACTTACAAGTACCTCAAACGTGCACTTAAGTACAGTACTTGAGTAAATGTGCTTAGCTTTCCACCACGGTTCAGAAAAGATTAAAACACATTTTAATCCTCCACATTTTTTTATTACAGCAGCATGTAAATAAAGCATTACACATCGCCAGTCAAATAAATATGACGTGCAAAAATATACATACCGACAGATGTTAGTTCTAGGGTTAAATATGTATACTTGTGTTTTTGTTCAATCACTGCTTCTATGTAAGATTTGATCTGCTTATTTGGAATGAATTTTACTTTTATGTAGACACCTGAACTCTCCCAATTCTCAATAGTGAACACAGGAAGTGATTCACACAGTAGCTATGTTGCTGTACCTGACCTAAGAAAACATGAATTTAATTATATTTAAGATGTTTTAACATTGTTTCATATATCAGAAAATGTCCAAAACTGATTTACATAAATAATATTAAGATCGTTTGAGACTTCATTAATCACGTACCATAATCTCTCTCTCTCTTTCTCTGTTGTGTGTCAGACTCTCTTCCTTAGTGTTTTGATGAGGACCATTGGTAATAAGAACACAGTTCTCCTGGGGCTGGGCTTCCAGCTCTTCCAGCTGGCCTGGTACGGCTTCGGCTCCGAGCCATGGTGAGTACAGCCACTGGGAGAGTGCATTATCTCAGGTTACACGGCTTGGGTTAATACTAAGTGCTTGGTCAAGTTTGAACATTGAACCTTGGTCTGCTCGTTTTAGCCAGCGAGCTCTAGGAGGTCGCTGTGAGCAAGCCACTTCGTGCAGTCCTAACAATCCACAAAAAGAAGTTCAGTCAATAAACGCCAGCTGTGGACAAAAAGTGTTTTTCCCCCGTCAGAAAACACTATTGAATATTATTTTAATATTTATTTTTGATATTTGTAGAACATGAAAAAAAGAAGCAAGGACAGAACGCTTAACGTTTCTGTCGCTGCAGTTCCAGCCAAACAGACAATCTAAGCTGAAGCAATACCATGATTTTTAAATCAATACTTAAGTCAACATTGTGAGTTTGAGATTGTGATCCTGATCACCTTGTTGGTGTTCTTTTTTCAATAATGACAGGCTAGCTGCGCATTATACCTTCCATTAATCCTTTTTAAGGGGGTCCCAAACTAAGGCAGTGTGCGAAAAAAGCACACAGATCAATTTTTCGCCAATCAAAACCAAACAGATCATGAACAAAACCCTGCTCTACAAAATGTTTTATGTCTCTTGATGATAATGTGAGGTTTACCCTTTTGGACCTTAGTGTCCCTAATTGTGGCTACAGCACAGTGATCACTCACATTGTTAGCAAATACTCCCACAGATGATTATTTATAGGGAACATTAGTTAGAATGAGATCAATTAGGGAGGATTTATTTGGGAACTTAAAGAGCCTGTGACACGATTTTCCCCCATCATCCAAACCCATCAATTTGAGTAAATATTGTCCCCTTGAAAACCGTTACTGAACTGATTTTGGATATTTGTACTTTGATAACCACTAATCTGCCCTTCAATGTTGACCATTTCCTGGATCTTCTCGGGGATTCTTCAAGTCCCGCCAAATTATGGGTGACGTCAATGCGGGCACAGCGCTCCAGCTGCACCGTTCAGGATCCCAGCATCTGCATGTAAACGCACGATGGCGCACACAGCAGCAAGCTCAGACAGCGATGACAGTTTAATTTTGAACGTGTCTGAGAGCTCATATGAGGCTGAAGGATCGGTTTATTTTGTATCTGTT